TCGGGTCGCGGAGGCAGACGCGTCAGACACAGCTTCCAACACTCCCCATCCTCTGCCAGTCTGAGATTCGGCAAAAGACAACTGGAGTCTAGAACAGACTCCTTCCATATATTTGCACCAAGCTAATCTTGGCCGTCCTCTGAGCTACCTGCCAGTCAGATTCACAACAGAGACTTGCTTAGCCTTCCTTTCTGGAGGCATTCGCAACACATGCCCAAACCATCGCAGCTTTGACATCTCAATCTTGAGAAGCAAAGCCTGTGTATCAGAGCTCTTTTGGATGTCAGTATTCTGGACCACGACGAGGTGCGGAAGGCTAGCGACTTGTCTAAGAAGGCCCATTTCAGCAGTTGTTCCCGGATTCGAAGTTTTTCAGTAATGGTCCACGATTCATGACCGTAGGTAAGCATCGGGATACAGATCGACTTAAACAGCGAGAGCTTTGTTTTCAGACTAAGCCCTGCTTTAGTTAAATGGGTCGGACTAGTTCACGCAGAATGTGACTGGCTATTCCAGTTCGCCGGTCGATCTCTTGCTCAAATTTTCTATCACTAGCAAATACAGTTCCGAGGTACTTGAACTTCTCCACCTCCTCCACTGCCTCTCCGTTAATCTGAAGAGAGCAACGGACAGGAGAACGAGAGAGCACTAGGCTTTTCGTTTTAGATGCGTTCATTCGCATGCCGGTCACGTCGCACTCGGCTGCAAACCTTTCTAAGGAGCACTGAAGATCAGCTTCAGAAAATGCTAATAAAACAAGGTTGTCTGCAAACAGCAACCTTCTCGACTTCGCATCTCCTACACCGATACCCTCATCGCCTTGGCAGCTCCTGACTATTCTATCCATGTACAAGACAAACAGGATAATTGACAAGACGCAGCCTTGGCGGAGACCCGTGCGAACGTTGAATAGTTTCGACTTAACGCCATTAACTCTGACGCAGCACTTGCTATCAGAATACAGTGACTGGATGGCCCTTAGCAACTTTCCATCTATCCCGTATGCACGAAGGCATGACCACAGACTGTTGCGTGGGATCCGGTGATAGGTTTTCTGTAGGTCAACAAAACACATGTACACCGGCTGGGCAGCATACTCCCACAATTTTTCAACAGTCTGGCGCAGGGCAAATATATGGTCAGAGGTGCTTCGACCGGGCCGGAAGCCACACTGCTCTT